GCCCCCCGCAGCCCCATCCTGAAAATCGATCGCGTTTCCTTCGTGGCAAAAATTATCCTGAGAAACCGCAGAGACTGCGTCTAATTTTACATCGGGGGATGAAACTTCCCTTGCTTCTATTTTTTTTACCCCTCTTTCCTTTTTGTTTTCTTATCTGCCTCCGACGAGTCCAGTTCGTCGTTCGTCGCGAATGCAGCTACCCCACGAGGGAGCTTTTCTGTCCGCAGTCCAATCCCACCCTATTTATCCCATCGTTCAGTGGTAACTCAGGATAATTTCGCAAGTTTTTCACTATAAAAGTTACATGAGAACAGGGCGCGACCGACCACAGGTGAACCGTATTGGGAGGGGACAGGGGGTGGCGAGGCAAGGGTGGGTATATTCAGGAATCAAATTAGCATGTCTGAGTGAGTCCAGTCGATGCTTCTGAGGCTTTACGCTTGTATATATGTATATATGTCTCGACAATATTATCCCCATCTATAGTGACACTGTCAGGAGTAGAAACACCCTCTGAATACGTAGACGTCATATAAATCCCTTATTATTCCCTAGAGACTTCCTTTATTTCACGTGGATATGATATTCTATATTTTTTATTATTCTGGTTTTTTTTTTTTTTTTTTTTTTTTTTTTTTTTTTTTTTTTTTTTTTTTTTTTTTTTTTCTTTCCGGAGAAAATAAATTGAAAGATAGATCGAGCAGACGGAACGCGATTTTTCCTTCGGGCCGAGGTAGACGATTTCCAAGAAATTTCTATTATTTACGGGACATTGCCGATGCCATATTGTTATCAATTTTCTTTTTTCCCCCTTGCTTCTTACTTTTCATGGAAAATACCTATGCAAATTGTCTCGTTGAAAATTCAAAGTACACACCGGGACGATCGGTACTGATTGGTATCCCGTATTTCTGCGCTGGCCGTGTGGCACACGGCGTATCCCGATAACGTTAAATAGTCAGTAATATAGTGAAAATATTGTTTTATCGTCGCGACGCTGTTTTCTTCAGTTTGTACGACGCACTGAATGAATCGTTATCGAGCGATACGTAATAATATTAACAACAATAATGTTTCAAGCTCTCTCACGTAGTTATTCTTTCTCACGGGTTTTCTCATTAAATCGTCTCTCGTTCCTCTCGATTCGTCTTGGAAAGTGAAATTACGATTTAGACCTGTTTTTTTTTTTTTTTTTAAGAGCAACGTCTTTTTAATAAAAACTTTCAGTTTTCAAATTTCCCGGGAAACAAACGACGATTCACGTCCCCCGTAGAATCTTAACGTATGACAATTCCACATAGGAATTTGACGAATTTAGGGAATTTTGTGCAGACGATACATGACGTAAGCGAACCAGAATATTGTTAATAGAAGAGCGGAATACCGGTCGGACACAAAATGAAATTCCGAGTGTAATATCGTTGAGAGTATAAAGGATCAAGTGACGGAATGAGATGCTGCGGACCAGATGCGAATGCTGTGACATTATTTTAAATGACAATGAAAGATAGGGAAAAATAAAGGAAGTAAGCAATACATTGGCGGCGGTGGGATAACGTAAGTGGTGCCAGACGAGAAAAAAAAAAGAAAGAAAAAAAAAAGGTTAAAAAGATGTGTGGAAATTCTCGAGGAAATCGCTAAACAAGCCAAGTTCGCGATACCTGGTGACGTAATGCGGAATGCGCAGAATGAAGTAACGCGCGAGCAAGCGCAAATGCCTGGACAGCATTTTGCGAAAGACACCGACGTGAAACGTGCTTACAGTCGAATCGAGTCCAACGATTAACGGAGGTGCGACGTTCGTAAGTGAGCTTGATATCAGCCAATATAAAGTGGGAACCGTAAAAAGCGGCCATATTGAAAACGAGTCAAAGAACGTTGAAGAAAACGAATATATATATATATATATATATATATTATTTGAATAATTAATTATTTCTATATATAAGTTTATACGACAATCTAGAATGTTCTAGAAGCTTCGATAACGACCATATATATATATCGTCTCTGTTTCGACTTCGGAACTCAAGATGGCGCCCCGAAAAATTTTCCTGAATGAAATAACGGACGCGGGCGACCTCGGAATTTCGTTAGAGAACCGATTGCCGGGCGATTTTGTATTGCGCAATTTTTTCGAGCGAGACGGCGGTTACTGCGAAACAGTACGAAATCCAATGGCGCGAGGGCCAGTGAAATGCGTCAACAAGCCTTTAATATCTTGCACAGGTGTTTAAACGTACCAGGTGTAGGTTATGGTTTAACATATTGCTTTAAGTCGCTATCGTCATCCGCTGAATAAAATCTTACTTGATATAAACTCAATAAATCCATTAAATTTTCCGCCTATATGCCATGCGACGCTTGACACGCACTGTGTCAAGGCCTTTCTCTGAACGCGGCGCGACACGGCACACGCCGTCATTGCTGAGCCGAGACTTTTGCAGGAAAGAGAGTGAGAGAGATGGAGCCTGCACGGAACACGGGTAAGAAACGAGAAGGACCGAGTTTCCGTATAAAGTTAGTCGAGAGAGAAGTCGGTTTGCGCGGCGAGTATGAACGCGGAGGAACATAACCTCTTTTCTGTTTACTGGTGAAGAAAAATGAGAGTGGCTCGATTCCACGATGCAGCGTAAATACATATAGTAGGTACTGTGCATACATAGCCAGGTGGTTGTAGACGTTGAATAAAAATACATGGCATTTGCTCTCGACACCATTTTAGCCTTGCTTCCTACATGACGATTGGCGCAACAATAATCATTGGTATTGGGAGTAATGACTCTTCTGTGGACGAGAGTCATTACGGTATAGTAATAATGAAAATAATAACAATAGGGACAACGCTTTGATCGATAACGGCAAGAATATTTCGCTGTGAGATAATTTGAATTAATTTTCGTTAATTACATTTGGACAATTTCCAGCTTCCACAGATGAGTTTACCGTATCGAAGAATTCAATTACAACGAGTAAGGGTTGGCCGGGATGGACCGAGGGAAGTAAATTAAGAGCAAATGTCAATAATCATTAAGGACGCTAATAGAACATGAGATTACAGGCAGACAAGAAATTTTATTTACCGTAACACCCCGGCGACCCCTCTTTTCTTAAGTCTATCCCTGTTCCCGGTTCGCAGATGGCCCCTGGTTCCTTGTGCCAGGTTGGTCCTAGACATTAGTCGACGCGATGCCTTTTAAGTATACGAGGGGCTGGATACGCGTCGTGGAATAACGGGCGATTTCCGGTTAAAAAGTACTCGGGGAAATTTCTTTATCGGCGGAGCCGAGTGTTTTCACACCCTCAAAACTCGTGGGGCTCTCGAGTACGGCATAAGTAGCTGCATAATAGGGGTAGGCAATCCCGTCGGGATTGGTCGGGCTCTCTAGGTAGTCTCGCGCACTCTGTGACACGAAGCAGACTTCCTGCGGCCGTTGTTTACGCCACGCTCGTTTCCTCCTGTTCGCCGCGAAGCCGACTTTTCCCTTTTTTTTTACTTCTCTTTTCTATTTTATACAGATACCATCTACGTCTCTCTCACTCGTTCTCGATGCTTGTATTTAATTAAGAATAACTCCTACAGCCGTATTCATGCACAAGAGTTTCCTTTCCAACGTGAGAAAATCCTTCGCGCACGATATCCTTCGAAGAGTTTTGAAAACTCGTAGGAAAATACGTTGCCACCGTAATACGAACGATTCTTGCCGTCCTGAACGGAAATACTGAAACAGTATAGCCCGTATTCAGAACTCGCTTTTAGTGCTAATAGTACGCTTTTAAATTTTTTCCTAGTGACTTTTAACTACAAGCGTCTCTGTTAGTGACTTTAAGAGCGAGTTGTTAATACGGACTTATGTGTGTATGTACCTTGCGAGACTAGAAGTCCAGGCGCAGTCTAGCCCGATGTTAGTAAGATGAATATTGTCGAAGTTTAGGCTACTTTGCGATAATAAAAAATATATATTGTCAAAGAATAATATTTGCTTCGTGTTCCAGTCGACTCCCAGTGATACGATCAGCGCCATCCTCGAATTTCCGTATGACGACTCGCCGTCGGCAAATCTAGGACTTCCGCACGTGCTACGGGGCATTGGTGTTACGACAATCCATAGTCAAGTGTCTACCATTAGCAGACTGCCAGATGACGATGATAATCACTCGTACCGTAGAACGAGGATCGGGTTTATAGGGTACAGAGATCATCGGTTTGCCACTGGGGTTTGACATATAACCTACAACACATAGACTACCTAGAGACAGCGAAGCGACAAGATACGTGGCTGCTCAGTGTTTACGTACAGAGTACGTCCGTATGTACATGGAGACAGGGGCTCACAGGTTAGCCTCGGCCCACATTGGCATAACACTTTCACTGACGTAACACTTCACTCTAAACTGTTGCGTTGCCCGTGGTTGGGCCCTCTCCTTGTCCTCCTCATCGCCGCCCGTCGCCAAACCACAATCCGTTTCTCTCGCTTCCTACCTCCCGAGTCCACCGTCGTCTTCCCAGTCCCGTATCGGGGCTAATCGCAGTCGTTTACTCTTCCGTAGGGACTAATCGTGAAAAACAGCTCGAATCCCTTTTACATTACTCGCAGAGGTTACGTTGGCAAACTCTCTTACGACTGTCAATAAAATAATTCTTTATGGTTACGCTCCTCGGAGATACGAAGTTAGTGTATAGGGATCGCCGCTAGGTGGAACCACTAGCCATACCTGGGTAACCCGCGTTACGTGGAATAGAGGAAGTTTCGTTGGCGCCTGAGAGACATAGCCTCAATCTCCAATTGAGGGACTGATCGCCGGCTTATGGTGTGTATATAAGGAAACTACCGATCGCTCAGTCGACTCTCTTGCGAAACTGTTTACTCGAAGGTATTATAGGATAGTTCCAAGGATAAAGAATCGCCATACGCGTAAACCGTGCCAGACTGTGTATTATGCGTTACGTATCTTTTTTCCTACGTAGGTATCATACTTTTGCTGAAGTACAGGTCCAGGTATATTAATTGTATCGTACCTTTTTCCCTCGTGCCAACCATACTATCCAGAGCACGTATAACGATATTAAAATATAGGAAAGATAAACAGTCGCTAATACGAGGTACCGACTGGATATAACAGTTTATTCTATGACGCCATCTTGGATATACACGTGACTTACGTGCATTGCGCGTATCGTACTGAAAGATATTTTTCTCACGGAAATATATACCGACAAGGTAAGAAACCCGTAGTGCATTTTACTCGACTCTCTTCATCCCGTGGGAAATTCATAAGCGATCGCTCGACAGTGTCCTTCGATTTTAATTGCCGATCGACTCCAGCCCAGCAGTATGAAATAAACGGAGGTTAGGATATCGATCTTCGTATTGACTAACAGGAATGTAATTATCCATCTCGACACCTCGTACACGTATGCAGCTCAGAATCGAGGTAAGCAAAGCTTGTGTTCTCTAGAGTGACGAAAAAAAAAAGAATAATACCTCTTTATCTTATCTCCGAATCCCATTGACAAAAATTTAGATCCAGATAAACACGGCACGGACTTATCCGAATTTCGGCAAAGTTACTCGAGGCTAATTGTTCCTCGGGGTTATTATAAATTTAACTCGTTATTCCTACGGCGAATGGGGAAAAGGGGACACGAGCATGAGACCGGGGAGAGGCAGCCCTTTTTCCGGCGAGCGGCAAAGGGATGAAACCGAAAGAGGACCAAGCAAGGAAGTCTTCGGTATAAACAAGGAGTCGTCGGTAGGTTTGTGTATATTACTTTTAAAAAGCAAGACGTCTTTCATGCTCGTTGCACGTGTTCCTCCTAAGCAGGGACTCCCTTCTAAGTATGCTCATAAGTATAGACGTGTGGATATACGTATATATGGGTTATGTTATGGCCAGGATTTTTTGTTCAAGCCCCATCAGAAATAGGGTGAACGGAGAAGGAAAGAGAAGCAGTCCTCCACCTGTCGCTCCCTGTCAAGAAGGGTCTACGTTTCACGGGGTTAAATCCAGAAATTTTAACGCCACGTGATAAACAGCAAAAAAAAAATCTCATATTTTTGAACGTGTCCCGGCACGGTTTGTCTAGCGGCATATGCCCGCATGCTCCCGGTTAACGGAAAAACGTCCTTCTTCGAGGACAAAAAAAAGGAGACGAAAGAAAAAGAAAAGATAAAATAAAAACCAACCGAGCTTAATTACCAGCATCCCCAGAAGCTGCAAAATCACGTAAGTAAATAATAATAATGAAAATATTCGACGATCCCTTCAAATTCATAATCCTGCCGTCTCGTTGGCTCTTGTCGGTACTTCCCAAAATAATATATCCCATACCAAAAAGGATAAGATACACTTAATTCCAGGTGAATTCGTTCGTCCTCGTGTTAAAGGCATCGACAGACGGATACTTCTCGGAACAGTTGCCTGACAATCCAGTCCAAGCTTCTGCATATTCAATGAATAATATCCTGTGTTTATAGAGGACGAAAAAAAGAAACTCCTGTCTTCTGCGTTACTCGTCCATTCCGCGAAAATAGCCATGGCGTAAAATTCCAACTCCCGGTCACTATTGCAATAACCTAAGAAGCCAAATGACGTTCCTTCCTAACGCGCGACGTCCCGTCGTAACAGTCGCGCGAATTGGCCTTAGGGCGGGTTAGAGGTAAAGACTTCAACATCTCTACGTGCAAATCTACAGAGACACGGGTTCCTACACGGTGTGGAACATACGTCAAGGAGCCCTGACCCGATTGCAGAAAATGTCAACACTCCCGTATATACCGTGAGATACGTATATATTATATATAGCTATACATAATAGCATACAACGTATATCTATCTACTACCTATACGGTATCCGCGAGTTTGCCATTCTCTCTCTCTCTCTCTCTTTCTTTATCTACGTGCAAGCCTGGGGCTACGCACACGCTGTCTCACGCACGACATCACAAACGTGTTCCCCGTGTGTACTTGTATGCCCTACACTGCACGTAGAAGGTGTTTATATATATATATATATATATATGTGTATCCGCGAGGTTTGCGGTTAAGTGGCCATCTTGAATTCACTTTCAGGCGCTCGTCGCGGCAATGGCTATGTGAGGCAATACAAGGAAGCTGATTACCCAACTTCAAAGGGGGTTACAAGGGAGAGGTGGAAGTTTATCACAGGTTCCTCTTGGTGATGGCGTTAGGTGTTATCCGGCGGCTGGAGGGGGG